ATAGGGCCAGAAGAATGGGGGAAAAAAAACAGCAAAAAGGTAGAAAGAAGTTGAACAGCAGGTTGGAAAGCACCAACCTGAAAATAGCTTTGGCACTGTATCCAAACCTGAGAACCACAATGATAAATTCCTGCTGCAGTAGGCATGCCACAGGAAGTGCCCTTATCTACCTTGCAAAGAGGTAAACGCCTTCGGCTGGTTAAAATGACCACCTACACTACAGACATCATTAAAAGCATTGCAGTAAGAAGTCGCAGTCTTCCAATAAATGATCAGAGATCTGTAGCTTTTATTTCGCAAATTGAAAAGCTGATGTTTCTTAAGCTTAACGATTACAAGAGGAACTTTAAAAAAAAAATCAACATTGCATTTCTTCAGGATTTACTTTAACTGCAGCAAAAGTATCTGTCAATACTTATGTCAATAAGTGTCAATAAGGAGAAACTTAGAGCATGCTGATTTATGCAGGCAGCTTATAAATCAAAATATTTTACTATGCTAGTTTGATAAGTATTATCTTTACTGAAATTCAGAGTCCCACCACATCTGTATCTTCTTTGATGTGGTTTTTAGATCTCTTCATTAACTTTTATGTAACAACTGGAAGTGGCATAACTCCCAAGAGATTGTGATATTGATTTGTGTCATGTCCAAGAACTGATTTGTTTTATTAATACACACAGAATATTATTATTGCACTATCAAAACTGCACAACCAAATATACCATTAGGAGATGCAAGAGTTTGTAGGCTTGTGTGCACTATTACAAAAAAAATCCAGTAACAGTGCAAAAGATACTCACTGTTGTGTTCATGATTCCTGTTCCATGAGTTCGAATTGAATTAGCAATGTGTCTAATATTGATAGTGTTCAAGTGCTTGTTATTACTTGTTCTTTCAATGAAGATCTGAGAGATGGGGGGGAGAAAATAAAGTTCATATAAATTAGTTATATAAACTATAATTAGTTATATAAACTATATTAGTTATATAAAACTGATTCTGTGATAAATTATCAGTCTAGGTAGCCCATATTCTATTTCTGAGAGCAGCTAATAACTGGTGATTAGGGAAAGAACCAAGAAAATACAGCATGCATACAATAAACTTTATTGTACATTCTTCTGATTTCTGCAAAGCGGTAATTCAACAATTCCAAGGCAGATGTACCCAAACTCTCATATCTATTGAGACTATATCCTACATTAATTGGTCTAAACTCTTTTGGCACCTGTTTGTACTTTTGGCCCCACTATATACCATGGCAATGAGTTCCACTACTGAATTATGTGTTATGAGGAAAAAGTACTTCCTTTTCTTTAAGGAGGCCACTCATTTTCAGTGGGCCCCTCATTCTCACATTGTGAGAAACCAAAAAGGATTGTTCCTTGTACATGTTCTCCATGTCATTCACTGCTTCATCTCTCTAATAACCCATTTTCAGATACTCTTTTTTCAAGCTGAAAAATCACATACTTAGTATGTCCTTATATAGCAGCCAATTATCCTTGCTGCCTTCTCCTAGCTTCACTGGAGTATTTGACATGGAGTGATCCTACTTGCACACTGTACTCAAAATATGCTTAGAGAACATTCTCTGAGACCTATCTACAGCATCCCCAAAGATGTTTTTCTAGAGCAGCAATAGCTATTTTACAGCTTGTTTTATGTGTGTTCAGCCTGGGTTTTTCTTCCACATATACTACTCTGCAGTTCTTAATCCCTTCAAATCAGAGCCAAATCCAGGAAAGAGTATGGGATATACCTTACCTGATTATTCAGATTGTAGAGGTAGCGGGATACAAAAACATGAATATTTCTCATGATTTCCAAAACGTCCAGACCCTGAAACAATATTATCTATTGAGAATTACTATGATAAAAATTCTCAAGAACTCCTGACATGCCTAACCACTAAGGTGCGCGCAAATACTGTTTCTGTAGTTACTTGAAAGCATTTTAGAAAGCAATGTTTTCGCCTTGCAAAATGAAGTCTCATAACAATTTCTGTTCAGTGTCTGTAAGACAATGTTTAAGAGGAGAAAAAAGAAGCTCAGCTCAGATTTTAACATTTACACTTCTGCCTGTTTTTTTTCCCAACTTCCCCTGAAAGTAAGAAATCCTCCAGTCTATTCCACAAGCCCCAATTAAAAAGTAAAATAAAATTGAAATTTGGCTGTTCTCAGATTCCAGAAAATGGAATCTTGCCTTAGACATTTCTATAGACACAGAGATTTCTACAGAGACATAAGCAACTAGCTGCTTTTTGATATCATTTTGCCCAACCTGTCTAGAAGACTGAAGTTTTGTATTTACAATGTAGGTTTTACAATTGTTTTGCTTGAAGGAGTCCCTTTAGTATCATTGTGCATAGAGAGGATGCTATTTAATCTACACACCCTATTTCCAGTTGTGCCAATGATTTTATCAGGATTTTGCGGGGGCAGGGGGGCGGGGAATGGAGCATGGGGTCTCTTTGTTTTGAAGTAAAGCTCATACCAGAATGAATGTTATGAAACCAATGTTGTGAAATGATTTAATTCTTTATAACAATATGATGGCCAAATATTGCCAATAGAAAGCCGAAGCCAGAAATAGAAACTAATCAGCACTTTTGTACCAAGAAGCAGCTAGAGTTCTTACTTCTATGCCCTCTTCCAACTTAGGAAGACATAGCCATCATGAACATAAGAAAACAAGAGGCTGTATTTCCAAGAGCTTTCACTAATGTGCTAACCAAAATGAGGGAATGAAGCTAACTGCCAAAAATATCCAAGATACTAAAACTCTTGAAGGGAAGTCTTCAGAAATATGCAAGTTGTATTTCTTTTGCACCGGCCCTGTAACAGTGAACGCCTTTACCATGAACTTGATGAAACTACAACTTTAGTCTATATGTAACTATGTTAGCAGTTTCTAGGAGGCTCCGAGTCACTCTCCTATTAAGCTAAGCATGGATGTCCCAAAGTCCTCAATGTGCAGCCTGTGAAACAGTTTCTCTTGATGATCACTAAGCAGAACCTGCTGAGAAGCAAGGGAAAAGACCCACCATTCAAAGGTCACTCCAGACTTGTGACAGTTGTATTCCAGATGTATTGCTTGCCAAATTGCTGATACTGAATTTTCAAGAAAACGTTCTCTGACTTTGTATACCCCATTTTCATTTTACTAAATCTTATGTTAAAAAATGAATGATACAAGTCCAACATGAAATTAACTGATATTGGTGTTATCTCCAAAGGCAGATAAAGATCCTATCTCAGAAGTCAACCAGAAATTAAAGGTCACTTTTTCCAAACAGTTCTCTAATCTTGGGTACTTTCATTTTAACGACTCAGTCCTCTGAATAGCTAGCTAGTATGACAGTGTAATGGAACAAATGATATTCATATCCTGTGGGCACTGTACCTGTTCCAGAGTCTGGCTAGGAAGGTGTGCTTCAGTCATACTTAGACCATAGCGTTGAGTTGCTAGGTTTCTCATTTCACTGTAGGTGGCCCAGTCATGGAGAGCTACAGTCGTTAAGTTGTAGAAGGTCTTGTCCAAATAGTGAGTTACATAAGCTGTAAACACATAAAAGGATGAACTAAAATAATACTGCCTATTTAGTTAGGGAAGTGTGAAAACAAGTGAAAAGATGCACTAAGCCAAAGTGTAACAGAGATGAAAGTAACGGAATCAAGAAAATGTATAACTCCTCACCTTTTATGTCAATGAATCGATTGAAAAAACGTATTGGGTTCAGAAAGAAGAAGTGAGCTAGATCCTTCATACCAACTCTGAAGGGGTTTCTGTCATCCAACTTTAAGTGCGTATGAACTGATAAGCGCAGGTCCTTTTCTATCTCTTTACATAATTTGTCCAGCAAGTGCTATTCAGGGAAGTTAAAGAAAAGTCACGTTCAGTGTCCGCTTACAATGCTCTGTTAAGCAGAACTAACATCCCTCTCCAGAGACACATACAAGATGTTTTAAACTAGTGAAGACAGCTTTGCTTTGGCAGGGCCATACAAGTCAAAGTGAATCAATACTTGGGAACCAGAAGGATTTTTAATTCCTGTGTTCTTGTTCTCGTACACAACATCAAAAAAAGCTACACAGCTCAGAAAAAGTAAAGGTTTAGCCACCTAATGCCATTCTGTACATGATTAAAACTTCCACGTAGGAGTTTAACACAATTTCAACTTAAGTATTCTCACTTCTCATCTTAAGGGGAACTAGGCTTAGGGCTATCTATCTAGATAATAGTAAGACCTAAATCATCGAGGAAGAGTCTTGCAATAAGCAGTTTGGCCTGATTTTCTGCAGAATATGTAATGTTTGGTTTTGAGCTAGTCAAACAAAAAGAGTAGTTCAAAGGTTAAAACCTAGGACTTGGGAAATCTGAATTCACATTTTCTCTCTATCAAACGTCCTTTGTAATTCTGGATAATAATTCACTAAAGAGGCCACCTACATTTACAGTGCCTTCACTACTAAAAGCCATGCATACATACTAAGAACAGCAGTACTTATTTTAGGCATTCATACAAGCAGAAGCTAATCTGACAAAAAGCACTCCTCTGTCTGCATCGTCTAATCTGTAACTGACGTTTTGCCAATTTATGTAATTTAGAGTGCCGTATTTTCATGTTCCCAGCCAACACAGATACCATTAACAAAAGGTCTTAAATAACCAAAATCATCAGTGAACACTTTCCTATTTATTAAAATACTTCACAATCTCAAAGGTCTCTGTGGTATTTTTATAGATCAGATCAGGTTGGTACAATAGATTCTGGCCTGCAAGATATTCCAAGTATAGTGTTGCCTTTAATTTCCATTCACAACAAATTACCTCATTGAGCACTTCCATGATTTCTTTGTCATAGCATTCCAGAAGCATCTCGTAAGATTCCAAGTGTCTTGCATGCATCATAGCAGGTACACAGTCCCGTAGTGCACTAAACATATACTGAAAAAAGAAACTATTATGCTTAACCAACAGATTGACAGACGTGTCAACAGCATCTCAAGTAGTGTTCCAAGCTAGTCTTCCCACTTTTATTAAAAATAGACTTCATAAACACTATTGAAGTTTCCTGTCCTTGCGTTCATCTGAAGTACTTAGTTGCTCCTGATCCGTTTACTGGAAGGTCGTAATTATTAGCTATTTTATCTGAAATTATTTACACTATAACCATTTTAGTACTGTAATTGACCATGGCATGCACAATACTGGAATAGATGATTGATTTTTATCAGGATTAGTATGCCAAAGCATGATTCACTTTTGCAGCAAATACTTGCTACTTCAAAGAAGGGAGGAGAGATGGGGGGTGGAAAAAGCTAGAGGACAACTAGCCCACACAGCATCACTGAACACAGTGATATGTGCTTTAGAAATACGTAACCACAATGTGGAACAAAGACTTTTAATGTGCATGTCTAGCAAAAGGTGTTCATTTCAGATTAGAATGAATGGAGGAACAAAGACAGACACACAGAGATCCAGAGTTAACAACAGCAACCTGAGATTTTTAGAGCAATCTAACAGATATACTTTAATTAGATTTAGAACAAAGACTACTTTTACATCCTCCAGATTGAAATGAAATTTCTGCCTCGGTAGTAACTCTGGCCTGGGGTGGGGGTTTTTTTAGCATTTTCCTTAAGAGTTTCAGTCTAAGCTTTATCCTCTCCTCCTCTGAATCCTTCCCATTACAGTGGCTTGTTAAACTAAGTTATTAACATGGTTACTTACATGCAGCCTAGCAGAATCAACAGCATTTTCATACACATCATCTAAATAGATTGGAAACACTGCTCGATGCCAGTATAAGAAACAACAGTCACATTGTGCTCGAACTCTAGAATACAAGATTACTTATTAGACACAGAACTGGAAGAAGCCATTCTTCTAACACGGTGATATTTATTTTAGTGTATAAACTAAAAGACAACTGTGTTGCAAGCCTAAGTTTTATATGGTTACTTTAATGTTCCAGATGCATTGTCCTTCAAAAGAAAGTTCTTGAATAAAGAACTTTTTTTTTTCTCCTTGTTTTCCACTAGGCTATTTATCAACAAAAGGTACCTGCTTTAGAAAAAAGGTTTACTCAGTCTTGGAAAGAATTGAACCTTACATTACAGCAAAATCCTAAATAAGTATTTTCCTATTGCGTGCAATTAGTAGCCTAGAAGTCAAACATGTATTCTAAGTTTCTCCTGTAAGTCAAAAAAGAGAAACAGGCCTCTCCTGATACAACCTGTGTACAGCACTTGTCCCAGGAATTTATCCCATGACTCATCCACTGAAGGCGTTTGTTTCTCTCCATAAAGTATGCATGGAACCCAGATACTCACCTGGCTTTCAGATGGCCAACGTTATAGAAATTGAGTGCCCACTAACACTACAGCAGCAGTAAAACATGGTGTCACATGCGAACTAACAGCCTGATCTCCCAAACAGACTAGTATTAACTCATAACTTTTGGGTTTGGGTTAAGAGGAAGACTCGCTGAACATAAAGCCAAGCCATCCAAGAAAGTAGTGACAGAATTTCTAAACAATCAGAGAAATGGATTACCTAACTGGCAACAGTTAGGTAAAATATGATTTGCCCAAAGACCAGCAAACTTCAGGCTTAGCTCTGGAATTCTTTCTGTCCACCCTGGTCTACAATACATGCAAAAATCGCCACCAGCATGCAGTTACCAGATTTTGCAATTTGCACAGTGAAGATCCAGCTCCCCCACTGACACTACACTACCTTCTATATATCATGTGCCACTGCTTACCGCTCTATAAGTTCACTGATCAAGTCTAGTTTTTTCAGAACTAACTGAAGGGGAATGAGTTCTTCATCTTTAAAAGTTTTCTGTGCAAATAAAAAAAAAAAAAGACAAGATTATATTTCTTTATAAGATACTACACCAAACAAGTAAAGGTCTAGAACAATCATGGCACTTACCATCTGTGTTCCCACACTCAGCGCAAGGGAAACAATTAGTCGCCTCTGTTTTGTACTTGGCCCATTGAGAGTGTTCTCAGCCAACACCAAAGCCGATAGGACATCCAGGCGTTGCTCACTATACTTTTTATCAGAAACGACTCTTTTCTTGATGACAGAAAGACACAGAATTTCAGAGAAAAGTTACCTAAGCCCAAAAGCAATAGCTTACCTCTTCTTTCCAAAGCTTACAGACTTGTCATAAATTGAGTATTTCTGCAAACAAATTATGTTTTGTGAACAGAACTAACCAAATCCAGATTCACTTACTCTGTCAGTTCAGTGGTATTACCTATTTATACACTTGGAATATGCGCAGTTCAGCACGAACATGGGTCAGGTCATACAGTATACAAATACTGTGCAAGCTGCATGTGACTGCATGCCAATTTTAGTTCTAAGGCATATGTAATTTAAATTTTTTAAATTATTTTTTAATCAGTGACTCCCTGTTGTTGGTAACAAAATCCAGTTTACAGCTGAAGAGCCAGAAGATGTATAAACATGGTAATAACAGCGACTTGCAATTTTCTACAAATTCTAATTTATCAGAAAGATGAAGTGCAAAAACATTTGCATGAACAAATGAAGGGAACCAAGTCTTCCGGCTAAGAAGTTGAAGTCACAGATGTATTTGTGAGTAGCAGCATAGCTCAGAAGAGGTACAGTTTCATTAAAGAGTTAAAGAAAACCTCTTCCGATAATAAGAAAGTATGTTCAACATGAAACTCCTAACCTTACATGCTAAAGCTATGTTAGGTATATGCCTTAGACCTTACACCACTTTGTTTCTAAGTGGAGCAGATAAAAAAAGATTAGTACTAATGAACTCTTCTATTTACCAGCATTTGCCTCTTAAATCTTTTCTGAAAAGTAGTCAAAATACCAAGACTTGTTCACAGATGTGTTCTCTTTGATATCCACTCAATACACACGTCTCAGCATATTTCTATGCATTTAGAAATAATCTATAATGTAGTTATAGATATCATTTGAAAAGGTTATGAAAGTTATCTAAATATATGTGAACCGTTTGTTTGCAGATATACAGTTTTTCTTAGAAGCTTTGAACTTCTTCAGTTCATGCTACTCCCGATTTTTTAATATATCAGCTTTTTAGAAGTACAAGTTTCGTTTTTTTCTTACGCTAGAAAATATTGAGATGCCAGATACATAAATTGAGATTACAGCCAAATTTCAAACATATCAAACTTCCAGAATACAAACGTCTACTGTTAAAATTGTAATCCATTTATGTGAGCGTGGCCAAAACAAAAAAAATTAAGAGGAAAACTTAATAGCTGCACTGATATCAATAGCATACCTCTTTTGTAATTCTACTACTGAATGTGATGAAAGAATAAAACAATCACTAATACATGAGAACAGGTATATTAAAATCTTATTTTCCCATTTTTCCTGAATTCAGAAATTCAAGATTTGATAAGCAAAATGTGTAGTAAACTGATCTTGTTTATAGAAAGATATAATATGTAGGTATTACAGTGTCTTGCCATCAGAAGCCATTTTACTCCACAGTGAAATAGTGAATTTATGCCCGCATTAAACTCCTATAAGCCATCACGTATTAACCACTGCTATTTTGCCAAGCAGACAAAGACTTAAATAAATAACAGCCTGTTTGCTTAGACCTATAACAGATTGCTTTAAGAATGTGCATCAGAAAAAAGGTAAGAAAAGGTCAGTTTGTGAAAATCACTAGAAATAAAACCTAAAAAGAACACAAGAGGAACATGACAAGAGATGCAGCAGTTTAGAGGAAGAGAGGAACCATTCTTGGCCAAAAACCGATAACCATCTATGCTGTACAGTTTCTAGGGCAAAGCTCTGACCTACTGGAAAGTTTATATATCTGTTGATTATGATAGAGCACTACACTACAGATTTTGCAAAAGTAAGAAGAATACTTTAAAATTAAGATTTTTTTAAACAGATAGGAAGATTAATTATTAGAACTCGGTTTACATACCTTGGCTACAGAAATAGAGTGAAGAGCCTGATACTGCAGATGCTGAGCTATGTGTGTCACAGAATCTGCCACAACCATACTTCTTCGGTAAAACATGTGTTCTATTGCCTAAAGTCAATCCCAAAACACAATAGTTCATGTAGTTATCGAAACTGTTGCCTTTAGAATTTGGCTTTATGCTGGCTGACCCATCCACACTGCAAATACAGACTCTTTCCATTTTGTAATGTACTGTTAGTAGCAGTTGCAATTAACCCTTAGAAACTGAGAAAATCAAACCATTCAGGAGCGTAAAAGAGTTTCAGGACTGATTTCAGTTTATTGGGTTTTTTGTTTTATTTTTTTAAATAATCCAGCTCTGTTCAACATTGTTTTCTGAAGTTATCTCAAAACAGTATTTTTCCTTTTGGAAAAAGTACCAGGAGAAGTGCAAAGTCCTGCACCTGGGGAGGAACAATCCCATACACCAATATATACCGGGAGCCATCCAGCTGGTAAGCAGCTTGGCAGAAAAGGACCTAGGGGTCCTAGCGGACACCAAGTTGAACGTGAGCCCGCAGTGTGCCCTTGCTGCAAAGGCGGCTAACGGTATCTTTGGCTGCATTAGACAAAAGTGTGGCCGGCAAGTTGAGGGAGACGATCCTTCCCCTCTACTCAGCACTAGTGAGGCCACACCTGGAGTATTGTGTCCCAGAGAGAGCTGGGACTGTTCAGCCTGGAGACAAGAAGGCTTGGGGGGTTGGATCTTATCAATGTATATAAATAGCTTAAGGGAAAATGCAAAGAGAGCCAGGCTCTTTTCAGAGGTGCCCAGTGACAGGACAAGGGGCAACGGGCACAAAGTGAAACACAGGAGGTTCCCTCTGAATATCAGGAAACACTTTCTTACTGTGAGGGTGACCAAGCACTGGCACAGGCTGATTGCCCAGGGAGGTTGTGGAGTCTCCATCCTTGGAGATATTCAAAAGTCATCTGGACATGGTCCTGGGCAACCGGCTCTAGGTGGTCATGCTTGAGCAGAGGGAGGTTGGACCAGATGACCTCCAGAGGTCCTTTCCAACCTCAATCATTCTGTGATACCAACTAAGGAAGGCAGTCAGAAGTTAAATAAATCAGTTATAGCCTCCCAGATCTCCTGTTCTCTAACCAAATCCAGTCTTGAACAAGAAGCCATGCAAAGACATGTCCCCACTCAGTTGTGAGTTGTTTGCCGTTTGTTTTTTTTTGTTTGTTTGGTTGGGGTGTTTTTTGGGTTGGTTTTTTT